GGATATGAAAGAGGGGTTTGGGGTGCTGGGGGGCCATGCAGACAGGGTTTGGGATGGGGGGGCCTGGAGCAGGGCTTTGGGGTGCTGTGGGGCCGTGCAGCCAGGTTTTGGGGTGCTGGGGGGGCCTGGAGCAGGGTGTTGGGGTGCTGGGGTGCATGCAGCTGGGTTGTGATGTGCTGAGGGCGCATGCGGCTGGGTTTTGGGGTGCTGGGGGCATGGAGCAGGGCTTTGGGGTGCTGCAGGGACCTGCCAGGTGAAGGGCGGCTGGAGCCATGCCGCAGGCTTGGCGGCACACATGTAGGACGTGCTGTTTTCTCCATCTCGTGAGAGCAAGGGAAATCGTAGAATGGTTTAGGTTGGAAAAGGCCTTTAAGGTGATCGAGTCCAACCGTAAAAGAGTAAGAATACTTGCAATATGCAAGAGATGCCCAGATCACATTTGTTAGTCCTCAGCAAGGTCAGTAAAATAATAAGGCATCTTCCCCAAAAAAGGGGCTTATTCCAGTAGATACTTTCTTATGCTGTTCTGAGCTCCCACACAGTAATGTCGTCTCCTTCAGCTGCTGCAGAGCACAAACCCCAACCCTGTGTCTCTCCTCTTTCGGCCCAGCCTGGTGTTCCACCAGCAGTGAGGGTGAGCTGAAGGCTCCTTCCAGCGGGGATACAAACACCAGTGCCCAAACCTCACTTCTCCAATAACTGGAAATCTACTTCTCTCGAGTCTCCGCGGCCCCCTCGCAGAAAAGCTGGGTTGCAGCAGCCTTCATTCTCCCTTCGCCCTCAGCTGCTCCATAAGCAATTTCATAGCAGGTTCGCTTCTGCCTTCACTGCAGGCTCAGACGTGTACTTATACAACTGCAACCAGCTCATTTTATTACTGGCAGAAATAAGAGACTCCATTTCTGTAAAAAAAAATCTGGCTTTTATTTAGACATTGTTCCCTTCCAGAATATGCACCCCAGATATGTAACAGAAGAGGAAAAAAGAAAAAAATAAAAAAGAGGAAAAAAGAGCTAGAAGGCAGGCCTTTTTTGTTATTGGAGATCTTGGGAAGACATCGTCAACTCAGTCTTTTCATCTGTTCCTGACTGCACGCCAGTAGAAACTAGACAGCAGAAAATCTTTGTTGATTCAGTTCTTTTCAGGAGCAGGGCTTCTGTGTGTGCAAAGCTATCGTGCCATGAAAGCAAAGGCAGGGGAGCTCTCCTGGGGAGCTCTGCATCAATTTTTTGGTGAAAAGGACATACTATTCCTCACAAGTGCTATTTTAAAACTGCACATCAGCAAAACTCATGGGTTAAACATACCTAAACATACCTAAAACTCGAGTCCTCAAGTTTCCTTCACTGGACCTTGGTTAAGTTCAAATATTCAGTTTATTAGTCTTCAAAAAGATCAGCCAAATAATAAAGCATTTTCCCCTAGAAGGAGCTTATTCCAATAGATACTTTCTCAGAGAAGAGAAAGGAAAGGCATCAAAACTAACTATTCAAGTATAAAAGAACAAACCTATATGAGTACTAGGAATACAAACAGATTTCAACCCATCTTTCTTAAGGAGATATTTTAAAAAACACAGGCCTGAGGTTGGCCTTCATCAGTAAGAACATCCTATCCTCACTGTGCCCTGGAGCCCAGCACGCTGGGAGGCAGTCCGCCTCTCCGGAGTGACCGTCGAAGGCTCAAGAGGGACCTTTGATGCAATTAGACCATTCCAGTTGGGGAACAAAAAAACCCACAAACCACGCCGGAAAACCACCAAAATGCAGCACTCTATTCTACCACGCTGAAACCTGCTGTGATCACCAACCCGTCTGCGGGAACTGCAGCGCTGCAGATGGAAAGGACCACCACCTCATTCCACTGGTCCCCGCTGCTGACCTGCAACAAGCCTACCGCACGATACAGTCATCCTTTCTTCATCCTGATACACATTTTAGCCATTAATTTTGCTTCAAATTTTTAATAAAACTCCTCTTGGTCTCCCAGAGCTTTAAAAAGACACAAACTGAGCACTTTCGGTATGTAGTTTACATCCTAAGTGCTGTGGAGTTTTTTGATTTAGGTTGATTTGAGGGAGAAAGTCAACTGAGTGGACCACTGGTCCTTGTACAGTTGTACTGTATTGCTGGATACAACTGGTAACTGTCACAGTGACAGCAGGAAGAGAAGGCACAGCCAGAATACAAGAAAATGAAGGAAAAAACCCAAGTCACTTGGACAAAAAGCTTAAATGTTCAGCTTCCAAGCCTCCTGACATCATCTCGTAGATTCTAAACCCCAAAGGGTTAATAATCTATTTCATTCAGCCCCTGACTTGGTTTATCGAGCCTATTCAACAGTCTCTCAAGTTCTCCTGGCCAGCTTCTGTACTGAGCATCTGATGTTTCCTTTTTCCGCTATTTCAGAGCCAACCCAGCAGAAAAAGCCCAGTCCCATTCCTGACTGTACAGAACTTGGGGAGGGTGCCAAGCCCCCTGTGCATGGGGAGGAGCGGTCCTTCCACAAGGAAAGCTTTAGCAGAAGTCCTCTATGGAAAAGCTTTAGCAGAAGTCCTCTATGTACAAGTTAAAGCCAAAAAGGGCTGGGCCCCAGCAGAACAGTACAAAACTCTACGGGAAACAAGAGGGGACACAGCAAGGTTGATTTACAGCGTTTATATCCCTCTGAACAAAACCCAACCCCTGCACACGTCTCATCAGCAAGCTCAGTTGTCCACCTCTTCCTCTTCATTTTGCTCTTCCTCCTCCATCCTTTCATCATCATCATCATTCTCTTCCTCTCGGCTCTTATCTTGCTCCTCCGAGTCTGCCTTCTTGTCTTTATCTTTCCTTGCTTCTTTCTTTCCTTTCTGTTCACGCCTGTAAACTAAAAAAGAAAAAGAGAGAACACTGAAAAATTGCAAGCCAGTGTTTCCACAGCATGAACAGTACAGTAGCTCAAGTCCAACGTCCACTTGCTCTCCAGGCTTACAAGGGGAGCAGTGAACCCATAGCAGCAACTCACCCTATCATTTGAGCTGTGCTGACCAGCTCCATAGGAAATCAGGTTTAAGTTTCAGCAGAAAAATGCTGAAAAGGACGCAGGAGTTCACATTTACAGGCAGCACCTAAAATTTTCCTTAGATAAACATGATAGGGGAGTGATACCAGATGAGACTTTCTCAATCCTCATCAGTTGTGAAATAATGTTATCCCAGTCCTGTTAAGGTGCACATTATTTATTCCCCAGGCAAACTGCAGTGTAGGATGCTGGGCAAAGAGAAGAGAAACAAGACAGGCAAGTAAGTGTTGCTTGTCCAGTGTTCGAGGAAAACAGGACTTGGTGCTGCTTAGACTCCCTCAACATGAACTGAGGACGATACCTTCTAGTGATTCTTTCAAAGGGGCTACAAATCGCTGAAACTCCATTTCCTCCATGGCAGAGAGAACATCCCCAGCGTTCAGCGTTTTCCTCTTCCCTTTCATCGCAAAGTTATTTGCACTTGTCAAAAAAAAGAAGGAAAATAGTCAATTGGTACTGTCATTAACTTAGTCTTCTTTATTAACGTCACAGGCACCTTAAAAAAAATCACCATCTCCTAAACATTCAGGGTTTTTTATTCACTCAGTAATAGTAGTTTAAGATACCATCTCGTTTACATCAGCTGTTTGCGCTTTCATCTAGTTGCATTGCTTTCCCCCAACATTAGTTTTCTGCTCGCATGGACCTTTCCTACAACCAGGGGGGAAGGAGAAAGTCTGAAGATTGGCTGTAAGGTGACAATTCCACAAAGCCGTGTGAGCACTTCAGACCAGAGAGACGACTGCCTGCACGGCGTATTCTGAGCCAAAGACATTACTGTGTCCTCTGCAACCAGCCCCAAGGCTGATGAAGTTGACTCACGCTTGCCCTAAGGTGGCCACATGGCGTGTAGCTTGAAGAGTGAGCAAAGGGCTCTTGCCTTTGCCAGGAAAAGCCATGCAGCCATCGTCTAAGGCTAATGGCAGTTTGGGGGACCCCCTTGTCCCTGGTGGGGTCGGGGCATCTCTGTGTACAGAGCTGAGCTGCCTTCCCCACGGGTTGTTCGGGGCAGTCCAAACCCAACTGCTGCAGTCTGGCAGACTGGGCTGCACTAAAGATTGTTTTATTTATAAAAATAGACAATACTGAAACAAACACTGGAAAAAAATCTCCAGGAGTTAGCAGAGAGGTGAATTATAAATCCACTGCACCAGTTCTCTGATATGAGTTCTTACCATGATGTTGCATAAAGCACAAACACACTCGCTGCTCGAGAGATTGCACTCCGAGCTTCTTTGGAAATATTTACTCCATCAGGAAGCTGAAAAACAAATTCAACTTTTATCAGCAGCTGCTATAAATGACTTAAACTTGCATAATTCCCATGCCAGTTCCATTAGGGCATTCAGAGGGCTCAGCACAACTGGAAACTAAACCTTGTTCTCAGATGCTACCACAGAAACTCTGATGCCAGCTGAAAGCCAACTGCAATTTCACTGTGCTCTCTCAAATGCAGTCCGCTACGCAGATGCAAAGTCACTTCTGGGTGAGCGGTGGGTCTGCCACCATCTCTGGGGTGGTTCATCCAACGACTATCGACTGAAACCCTGAGACGGAGCAGTCCCCCTGCCATACCCACATTCATTCATCAGCGCCTCATGGCTCAAGACCAAACATGTAATTAAACTAACAACTAGGAATCATTTGAGGTTTTTATATAGACAAGGCATCGCTTCTGCTCTGGTTCCGTCTGTGGAGCTGGCTCAGGAAGCCCCCCTGCGAGAGCCCCTCTGCCTTTGAACGGTCCTTTGAGCGCTCCTGGGGGTTTCCCAGCTTGGGCCGTCCCTCGGGCCGGGGCGGTACCCAGCCCCCGGGGACAGCAGGGCCGGCACCGCCACCCCC